AGGAAATCACGAGTTGGGCAAGACAGGATGTCTCAAAAGATGGGACACAGCAAACGGGGGGCCCCAGTTGGAATTGAAGACACGATGAACCACGGAAAAAGGGGGAAGTATTTCTTACTCCAGATTTGCGAAGTGAAATAGTCCCGGGTAAGTGTAGTGGGGGGCATGACCATAATAGCTTTAAGAAGAGGTAAAAAAAGCTCAGGGGGCAGAGAGAGAAAGAAGAGCTAATACGACATGAAGAGGTGGGGGGCCCGGAGCGTGACTCGACCCCCGCAACCTAACTAGGTGGTCAACTAGGTGAGCAACAACAAACATACAGAAAGTTTGGGGTATATTGCGCTGAACTTATTACGCCCACCGTTGTTACACCTACTGCACGTTGCAAAACCCGCTGCACTGTTTCTACACCCGCTGCCATGTTGCTACACCCGCGCTGTTCCACCTACTGGCACTGTTTCTACACCCGCTGCCCCGTTGCTACAGGCCCCCCCTTTGTACAAAACCCGCTGCCCTGTTGCTACACCTGCTCCCCCTGTTGTACACCTGCGCCACTGTTGCTAAACACCCCTGCTCCCCTGTTGTACACCTCTGCCACTGGAACCCTGCTAAATGTTGCACACCTGCCACAGTCTTACACCCGCGCCACTGTTGCTAAAACCCCCCACGTTGCTACCCTGCGCCCCTTTGCTCACCGCTGCCACTGTTGCACAAGCTGCCACGTTGCTACACCTCTGCCCCCTTTTCTACACCCGCGCCCCTTTTTTCTACACCACGCCCCTGTGGGTACACCCGCGCCCCGTTTCTACACCTACTGCCACTGTTGCTACACCCGCTACCACTGTTTCACACCTGCTCCCCTGTTGATACACCTCGCTTTGCTCAACCCCTACTGCTGTTTCTACACCTGCTGCTGTTGTTACACCGACGTTTTCTACACCTCTACTGCGTTTCACACCCGCTGCTGTTGTACACCCGCACTGTTTTACCCTGCTACTGCGTTGCTACAAAACCGTCTTTTTTACACCTCTATGTTTCTACACCATCTCTTTGTTGGACACCCGCTGTCACTTTACTAAACCTGCTTCACTGTTCCTACACCTGCTGCCACGTTTTCTACACCTCTGCCACTGTTGTTTCCCTGCTACGTTGTACCCTGCTGATACTGTTGCTACACCAGCTGCCAAATGTTTCTAACCCGCTGCTACTGTTGCAACACCGGCAAAGTTTTCTACACCTGCTGCCACTGTTCCCACGCCTACTGCTGTTGCTACACCTGCTGCCACTGTTGCTGCAAACCCCTTTCACTGTTGCTACACCCGATCCACTGTTGCAAAACCTGCGCCACTTTCTATACCTGCTGCCACTGTTTTTGGCCGCTGCCACGTTTTACACTGCTGCCACTGTTGCTACACCCTGCCACTGTTGCACACCTCTACTGTTTTTACACCTACTCACTGTAGTCACTCCAGCTGCTCTGTTGCACACCGTGTCCTGTTGCAACACCCGGCTACTGTTGCTACACATCTGCTATTGTTGCTAACCTACTGCTACGTTGCGGGACCAGCTTTCCTGTTGCAACACCGCGCCACTGTTGCTACACCTGCTGCACTGTTACACACCTTTTGTCCCCCGTTCCTACCCTGCGCCACTGTTTCAACCCCGCTGTTGTTAAAACCGCACGGCTACAGCTGCTGCTACTGTTTCACAGCTGCGCACGTTGCTACCCTGCGTTACTGCTGCACCCCCTGCTACTGTTTCACACCATCGCTTTTTTTGCTACACGCGCAAGTTACTACCCTGCTGTCACTGTTCCCACACCTGTACTGGACACCAGCACGTTGCTACACCACTGCCACTGTGCTACACCTTGGGTGCAGTTGCAACACCCCCTACGTTGCTACACCTGCTGTTTACTGCTGAACCCCTGCTGCACTGTTGCTACACCATCTGCATTTTGCTACACCACGTCATGTTACCACTGTTGTCACTGTTCCCCCTGCGCCCCCTGTTGCTACACATGCTGCTGTTGAAAAATCTACTGTTGTAACCTCTGCTACTTTGCTACACTCGTACTTTGACAAAACCGCTGTTTTCTGCTGAAAAACCTGGCCCACGTTGCAAAACCATCTGCTTTGTTTCACACCCGCTGTCACTGTTACTTACCCGCTGTCACTGGGCCCACAACCTGTTGCCACTGTTGCACCATGCTGCTCCTGTTGCTACACCTGCTACTGTTGCTACACCTGCTGCTACTGTTGCTATACCAGCTGCCACTGTTGCTATACTAGCTGCCACTGTTACTACACCTGCTGCTACTGTTGCAACACCTGCTGCTACTGTTGCTACACCTGCTACCACTATTCCTACGCCTACTGCTGTTGCTACACCTGCTGCCACTGTTGCTGCACCAGCTGTCACTGTTGCTACACCTGATTCCACTGTTGCTACACCTGCTGCCACTGTTGCTATACCTGCTGCCACTGTTGCTGCACCTGCTTCCACTGTTGCTACACCTGCTGCCACTGTTGCTGCACCTGCTGCTGTTGCTACACCTGCTACTGTTGCTACACCTACTGCTACTGTTGCTACATCTACTGCTACTGTTGCTACACCTGCTGTCACTGTTGCTACAACATGCTACTGCATATAAACACAACTGCAGTATAATGTGATCCTTTATTGACTACGTTTGCGGCCCACACAGTGGGCTTTTTTCAATGTCAAAACAAACTGTTCTGACTGTACTTGACAAAGCCCACTGTGTGGTCAACACTACGTCACTAGTTCACATATACTGCTACTTTGTTCTACTTGCCATTGTGTCGTATTGTATACATTTTTACAACTGCTACTACTGGAGAGGGAGCATGGACACGAGGGTCGTCCCCACAGTTACTAAAAACAACAGACATCGCCCCACTCAACAAAGGGGGCAGTAAAGCACAGCAAAGGAACTACACACGACCATTAAGCACTAACATCCCATTATCATAAAAATCTTTGAAAGGGTCTAAGTAGGCAAGATCACACCCATCTAGAAAACCTAATCAGTTACACTCAACCCAGGGCAAACATGGGTTTTGAACAGGTCGCTCTGTCAGTCTCAACTATTGGATCATTACGCACAGGTCCTAGATGCAATAGAAGACAAAAAATGCAGATGTAATATATAAAGACTTTCAAAAGCCTTCGCAAGTGTGGACCATGGTGCGTACGCTAATAGCGCACAAAGTTGGTTGTGCTAATGGAATAAACAGAAAAGTCGGTCGTTTGGATCTATAATTTCTCATAACAGAAACAAGAGTAGTATTCAACACAGTAAAGTCCGAGGCAGTACTGTGAAAAGTCTGTTCCACAAGGAAACAGTATCGCTCTCCATCTTGTTCCTCATCCTCATATTCTGTCATTAGACAAGGATGTCAGCCACAGCACCGTGTCTTCCTTTGCAGATGACACCCGAATCTGCATGACAGTGTCTTCCATTGCAGACACTGCAAAGCTCCAGGCGGACATCAACCAAATCTTTCAGTGGGCTGCAGAAAACAATATGAAGTTCAACGATGAGAAATTTCAATTACTCAGATATGGTAAACACGAGGAAATTAAATCTTCATCAGAGTACAAAACAAATTCTGGCCACAAAATAGAGCGAAACACCAACGTCAAAGACCTGGGAGTGATCATGTCGGAGGATCTCACCTTCAAGGACCATAACATTGTATCAATCGCATCTGCTAGAAAAATGACAGGATGGATAATGAGAACCTTCAAAACTAGGGAGGCCAAGCCCATGATGACACTCTTCAGGTCACTTGTTCTATCTAGGCTGGAATATTGCTGCACACTAACAGCACCTTTCAAGGCAGGTGAAATTGCTGACCTAAAAAATGTACAGAGAACCTTCACAGCACGCATAACAGAGATAAAACACCTCAATTACTGGGAGCGCTTGAGGTTCCTAAACCTGTATTCCCTGGAACGCAGGCGGGAGAGATACATGATTATATACACCTGGAAAATCCTAGAGGGACTTGTACCGAACTTGCACACGAAAATCACTCACTACGAAAGCAAAAGACTTGGCAGACGATGCAACATCCCCCCAATGAAAAGCAGGGGTGTCGCTAGCACGTTAAGAGACCATACAATAAGTTTCAGGGGCCCGAGACTGTTCAACTGCCTCCCAGCATACATAAGGGGGATTACCAACAGACCCCTGGCAGTCTTCAAGCTGGCACTGGACAAGCACCTAAAGTCGGTTCCTGACCAGCCGGGCTGTGGCTCGTACGTTGGTTTGCGTGCAGCCAGCAGTAACAGCCTGGTTGATCAGGCTCTGATCCACCAGGAGGCCTGGTCACAGACCGGGCCGCGGGGGCGTTGACCCCCGGAACTCTCTCCAGATAAACTCCAGGTAAACTTCTGCTGCTACTGTTGCTCCACCTGCTGCCACTGTTGTTACACCTGCTGCCACTGTTGTTACATCTGCTGCTACTGTTGCTCCACCTGCTGCCACTGTTGCTCCACCTGCTGCCACTGTTGTTACACCTGCTGCCACTGTTGTTACACCTGCTGCCAATGTTGCTACATCTGCTGCTACTGTTGCTACACCTGCTGCCACTGTTGCTACATCTGCTGCAGTTGCTACACCTGCTGCTACTGTTGCTACACCTGCTGCCACTGTTGCTACACCTGCTGCCACTGTTGCTACACCTGTTGCCACTGTTGCTACACCTGCTGCCACTGTTGCTACACCTGCTGCCACTGTTGCTACACCTGTTGCCACTGTTGCTACACCTGCTGCCACTGTTGCTACACCTGTTGCCACTGTTGCTACACCTACTGCTACTCTTGCTATACCAGCTGTTACTGTTGCTATACCCATTGTTATTCTACCACTTAACCTGGCCACATTACCATTTAACCTGGCCACACTGTATTTAACCTGGTCACATACCAATAAATCTCCCCACACTACCACCGTACATGGCCACACTAACCTGGTCCAGGAGTATGATCTTGCGGCCAGCACGGGCCACGTGAAGAGCCGTCCAGCTGCCGATGATGCCAGCACCAACCACAACAACATCAGTTTCCAAAACTGTTGGGAAAACACATAACTGGGTCATTGTGGCTATTTTTCTAACTGAATATACATATCCTAGTGTTTTACAGTTAATACACTAATCATTGTCCTCATCGCTTCCGGGCCGTGTGGACGTGCTGCACAGATGCTCCCGATTCAGTTGATTTTCTGTGCAGTTTGCCTGTTTTGAGCAATCAACATGGCGGATAGACATGGCAGACGTGTGAATACTGTCTGTGTGGAACTGGTACGTGGTGCCCTAAGCAGTTCTACAATGCAGGTGCTACTCCCTACGATTATTCGTGATGTGTATGGGATACCCAATGAAGAGCTTTATGGCGTGGCTGTTAACGGAGTTACGAGGATTTTCATCAAATTTATAAATGCTGGATTTTACTCTAGCACAGTTGACAAGTACCACGAGAAGAGGATGGCCGTGAATACAGCAGTGGAGGTATGTCTACATGATGTATCCAGCTATGTGACATACGTAAAAGTCAGGAATGTGCCCTTTGAAGCTACAGAGTATGATGTGGTTGCGGTCTTCCGTCGTTATGGCAAGATTCATGCGGCGGAATTGGGAGTGTGGAAGGATGGGCCTTATGTGGGACTGCCCGAGGGATCCTTCAATCTGAATATGACGTTACGGCAATCAATTCCTTCGTATGTTTTACTGGAAAAGTTCCGAACGCAGGTCTATGTATACTATGCAGGACAGAGGCAGACTTGTAGGCTGTGCGGATCATTTGACCATATGGCAGCCCAATGCCATAGGAAACCAGGACGGAGGGAACAGATGCCAACACCAGTGGATCAGCAGTTGGGTCCTGTGGTGCAGGAGACAGATGCTGCCGAAAGGCAGGCATCGTGCAGTTGGAGTGAGGAAGTGGATAAAGCAGAGGCGGAGACAGACTCATGTGCTACATTACCTGTGGGGACTGGGCCTGAGCAGACGACGACGACGAACGATGACGGTGAGCCTCTAATGCAACAGGATGTAATGCTGGATGAGGTTTTGAATACCTTCCTGAGTGAGGTGGAGGGGAGTCTGGATGATGAGCAGCGTGGACGCTCATTGGAGGAGAATACAGTCTCATAGGGATGTGGGAAGACGATGTGCAATGAGGGGAAGAAGCACATGGTAGTGGCTTAGGTGCACAGAGCGTGCATGGAAGAGGAGGTTACATGTGGAGATGGAGGGTCACGCAAGAGAACAGCTGGGACGTCTGATATGGATGACGTCTTAACGCCAGGGTAGAGACCTGGGAAGAAGTCTTGGAAGCCCAGGTTGGATCTCCCGGAGAGTGGGTGTAGCGGTGCTGAAGTACTGAAAGGTTCAAAGGATAAGGGGGGGTGGTTGGGGGACTGGACAGACAAGGTGACAAACGGGGCTCTAGTCAGCAGCCACGTCATGCGGGTGCCATTCCAAGGTGGCGGGGCAAGCTGCCTTTACTGTCATAATTCAAGGTTGTAACTATCAATGTTAATGGCCTGAGAGCCGAGGTTAAAAGAGTATGGGTGGAATGGTTTTCAAAGAGATTTAATGTAGACATATGTTTCATCCAGGAGCACAATTATAAGTTTGGTTGTGAGTTGTCTTTGAAAGGATATAAATTGTATGTGAGTGGCTCGTTGAGGTTGAAAGGTGGGGTTGCTGTGGCTGTAAAGGAAACCAGTCCATTGCGTATTTTGGGGTGGGAGGAGGGGGACTCGGTCGTGCGGGCTGAGGTAGAATGGGGTGCAACGAGGGTTTGTTTTATAGGAGTGTATATGCCGGCGGATGGCAATGCACGAGTCAAGGAGAACTTTGCGAGGGAATATTTGATGTGCTTTTTAAGGGGTTTACCTTTAGTCACTGTCATAGGGGGAGATTGGAATTGTGTTATTAGGGGTGGGGATGTGGAACCGAGGGGGCGGGGTGTATGTTGGGCATGTTACATAATGTGTTTGGAGACGTGGGGTTTTTGGATGTTGTGGGGAGGGGGGGTTGGCAGGTTGAGTATACGTTTGCCAGACGGGATTATGCTGCAAGATTAGATAAGATCTATGCAACCGAAGCTGTACGTGTGTTGGGAGTCAGGACTTTTTGATGTGGGGTTTTCTGATCATAGGGCAGTTATGGCAGATCTTGATTGGGAAGGTATGGTTAGGATACAATCGGATTTTGGGAAATTAAATGCAAGACTCGTGAGGAGTGAGGAGGGGAGTATGGCTTTTGGGGAATGGTGGCAAACTTTTTGGGATTCTAGAGAGGTGGAGTCGTGTGTCGTAGAATGGTGGGAAAGGCATGCTAAGCCGGGTATAGCAGGTTTTTATAAAAGGAAGGGAAGGGAAGAGGCAGGGTGGAGGTATGGGTTGCAAAATTATTTTGAATATCAGCTAAATGGGTGTTATGAGGAAGGGGGGGGGGGCAGCAGTACGGAAACATGGTGCAACTCAAGAACAGGTTGGCAGAGTTACATAATGGTAGATTTGATGCGGTACGTGTAAGGATGGGAATGGAGGGAATGGAGGAAAGAAAGTCTCCCTGATAACATTGAGTATACATAGTGTATAGTGTATACTACAGTGGCTCCCTAGTATATTGATGATAAAGGCTAAAGTGTCATTTGAAAACAGGTGAATTTGTAAATGAAGTGATAAGCCTATAGAGGCAGGTGCCAGAAGTCGCCAGAAACTTACCACAGGTCAGCTGTTTTTAATAATCTTCCTGGCTTGCTAGTGTTCTCGCATATAATCTAGTGATACCAGTGAATAGCAGAATACAGTGTTGTAGTAGCAACTAACCAGTATTATAATGGTACTTAGTGGAGTGGAGTGACTTTCATTAGTTTCTTTTTTCTTGAAATACCAGACATATACTGTGAATTTCATACAACCTGTAGTTACCAGCGGTCGCAATATACACAACCAGAAGCAATTATTACTACAGAAAAAGCGTCCTTCCTCCAAAATTTCCACCAGTCAACTATAGTGATAATATAGCATTTATTGTGGTGGAGACGGAAAAAAAATAGAAAAGCTAGATACAGCGATTGATAAACAAGGGTTGAGGTCGACCGTTCGTCATTGAAGGAGTTGCCAGCAGTCACCGGTTTCTTCAACATGCAAGTTATACTTTTGTATCAATCAAATCACATATTACTCGGGTAGATAATTTCCAGTAGATCCTTCATGTGTTAGCCCAAATCACCGACCAGTATGTTTTAAATAAGTGACCCACTGATCAGATCAGATCGACTGGTCCGAACCCTTGACTGGTCCGAACCCTTGACTGGTCCGAACCCTTGACTTGGTTTTCAAACGGTTTCGTTGGACAATAAAGCAGACTGTAAACGGATGGGTTGTAGGCGCCCTTATAAACACAAACATTAAATATAAATCAGGAACGTGCACGTAAGCTGTCCAATATACAAAAACAGTTAGAAACAGAAATACAAATAGCTAGAGCTTCATTTAAGGAGGTTATTAATAGAATATTCAAGAGGTTGCTAGTAGAATTGCAGTAAATCAACCATTCAAATCATTATGAAGCTGTGTGTAGTCTGTGCTCAGTCAAACAAACGGGCTTCCACATGATAAATTGTCATTTTTGTGGAAATTGGGTCACGCCACCTTGTGCAGATATCCAAGAACTAGCTACAAGCAGTATTAAAACAGGGAAGTGTTTTTGGGTATGCCCAAATGAGATAAATCTGTGGACTAAAATCACAAGGGTATTAAAAGAGGACAACATCAAAGCTACTTTCATAGAAAACCTGGAAGCTCTCTATAACAGATGGGAACATAAAAAGTCTGGGCTGAATGGTACTGGCCCAGGCGCAGATATAAGGGGGGGCCCCAGGGGGCCCGCCCCCCCCCCCCTTTGGCCCTCTTTGGCTTTGGCCCAGTGTCGTAGCTGGGTTTTCATTTTGGGGCGAGGGGAAGGAGGGGCCAATCCTTTACATGGCGGGGGCATGCCCTCCCGAATTATTTGAGATTTTAAAGCCGTTATATATATATATATATATATATATATATATATATATATAATATATATATATATATAATATTATAATATATATATTATATTACTTTTCTAGACACAAAACTATGCAGAAATTCCTTTTCAAGTGGGGGGGCCACAGCTCTAGTGAGGGAGAGGGGGGCGGACCCCCCAGGCTCCCCGTAGTTACGCCACTGTTTTGGGATACATTTAAATTTGTTTTGCAACTTTGCAAGTTTACAGACCACTAATACCTCGAGCTCCATAACAATACAAAAAATGCTTTTTAAGGTTGGATACTTATAATAAACATTTTGGAGCTGTATTGATGCTGAGAATAATGAGATGTGGCAAAAAAAGTCGTGGAAATGTCCTAACTTGAAAGAAATTTGGCATAACAGCCAGAGAGGCAGGCAGGCTCTGAGAGAGCGAGGCTCAGCTCAGCGAGCGTCAAGCAGTGTTGCATGTTGAGAGCACGTGGTAACATCAGACGGCTGATGTGGCGTGACCCCGTGACGGTGAGTCACCGTCCCCCGGTATTTCAAGGCTCCAACACACATACTGACTCACTGCGAGCCGGGCACGAACCAGGATGAGAGGGTAAGGGTTCATGAACCATTCAGTGACCTTACTGCACCAGGTAAAGGGGCCAGGGCAAGATTAATACATTAGGCTATTGTGTTTATGCCTGTTTTGGGGCCTTGTGGGACAGTGCCAGAGTGGAGTGGGTTGGAGCCTTGGAGCTATGCCTACGGTAGCCTACCGTGAAAGAGTATAATAATAATAATAATAATAATAATAATAATAATAATAATAATAATAATAATAATAATAATTGTTATTTTTATTAGACTAAGTTTCAACATATTTACCCATATCTCAGATATGGAGAGGGGTTTGAGACAGGGGTGTCCCCTGTCTCAAATATTGTTTGCGTGTATGCAGCATCCATTTTATGGGCTCGTTGAGGGGAGGGGGATTTTAAATGGGGAGAAGGATGGGTGTATAGATGTGGTGGGGTATGTGGATGAT